TGGTCGCACGATTGAATGCCATACCTCGTTGAATTCGTTATAAAATTTCCAATAGATTGGCATTCACAGCTAAAAAATTTCATTTTGGTCGAGTTTTCGCCAAAAAAGATGAACTAACCCCTTATGAAAAATGGCAAAATCCGGAGGATCCGGAAAAATCAACTTTTATTTCGGTTTTTTGATCAAAACCTTGGGAAATAATGTTCGCACGATGGAATGCCATACCTCGTTGAATTCGTTATAAAATTTCCAATAGATTGGCATTCACAGCTAAAAAATTTCATTTTGGTCCATTTTTCGCCAAAAAAGATGAACTAACCCCTTATGAAAAATGGCAAAGTCCGGAGGATCCGGAAAAATCAACTTTTATTTCGGTTTTTTGATCCAAACCATGGAAAATAATGGTCGCACGATGGAATGCCATACCTCGTTGAATTCGTTATAAAATTTCCAATCGATTGGCATTCACAGCTAAAAAATTTCATTTTGGTCCATTTTTCGCCAAAAAAGATGAACTAACCCCTTATGAAAAATGGCAAAATCCGGAGGATCCGGAAAAATCAACTTTTATTTCGGTTCTTTGATCCAAACCATGGAAAATAATGGTCGCACGATGAAATGCCATACCTCGTTGAATTCGTTATAAAATTTCCAATCGATTGGCATTCACAGCTAAAAAATTTCATTTTGGTCCATTTTTCGCCAAAAAAGATGAACTAACCCCTTATGAAAAATGGCAAAATCCGGAGGATCCGGAAAAATCAACTTTTATTTCGGTTTTTTGATCCAAACCATGGAAAATAATGGTCGCACGATGGAATGCCATACCTCGTTGAATTCGTTATAAAATTTCCAATCGATTGGCATTCACAGCTAAAAAATTTCATTTTGGTCCATTTTTCGCCAAAAAAGATGAACTAACCCCTTATGAAACATGGCAAAATCCGGAGGATCCGGAAAAATCAACTTTTATTTCGGTTCTTTGATCCAAACCATGGAAAATAATGGTCGCACGATGAAATGCCATACCTCGTTGAATTCGTTATAAAATTTCCAATCGATTGGCATTCACAGCTAAAAAATTTCATTATGGTCCTTTTCGCCAAAAAGATGAACTAACCCCTTATGAAAAATGGCAAAATCCGGAGGATCCGGAAAAATCAACTTTTATTTCGGTTTTTTGATCAAAACCTTGGGAAATAATGTTCGCACGATGGAATGCCATACCTCGTTGAATTCGTTATAAAATTTCCAATAGATTGGCATTCACAGCTAAAAAATTTCATTTTGGTCCATTTTTCGCCAAAAAAGATGAACTAACCCCTTATGAAAAATGGCAAAATCCGGAGGATCCGGAAAAATCAACTTTTATTTCGGTTTTTTGATCCAAACCATGGAAAATAATGGTCGCACGATGGAATGCCATACCTCGTTGAATTCGTTATAAAATTTCCAATCGATTGGCATTCACAGCTAAAAAATTTCATTTTGGTCCATTTTTCGCCAAAAAAGATGAACTAACCCCTTATGAAAAATGGCAAAATCCGGAGGATCCGGAAAAATCAACTTTTATTTCGGTTTTTTGATCAAAACCTTGGGAAATAATGTTCGCACGATGGAATGCCATACCTCGTTGAATTCGTTATAAAATTTCCAATAGATTGGCATTCACAGCTAAAAAATTTCATTTTGGTCCATTTTTCGCCAAAAAAGATGAACTAACCCCTTATGAAAAATGCCAAAATTCGAAAGATCTGGAAAAATCAACTTTTATTGCTGTTTTTTGTTAAAAACCTGGGAAATAATGGTCGCACGATGGAATGCCATACCTCGTTGAATTCGTTATAAAATTTCCTTTCACAGCTTAACAGATATATTTCTTTCCATTGCTCTAAAAATTATGATAGCTTCGTCAAAAAACATTTTTTTTTTCTGTTGCTGTTTATTGTTTTGTTGATATAGAGTTAGCATAAGATTATTTAAAGTATTAATACATATTTAGCTTAAGTTTATCATAAGTTTATCTAAATGTTTATGTCTTAATTTATAGTTAGCATAAGATTATTTCGAGTATTTAGCTTAAGTTTATTGTAAGTTTATATATTGTTATATACCTACCTTTATCAATTATAATAAAGTTTTTAAATAAATAAACGTTTTTGTTTTGGGAGTAATTTTAGTGGATAGGATGAGAGATGCCCACATGCCATCCACAAACGCAGATACGGCCCACATGATCCACATACGATCCACAAAATTATCGATACAATCCACATACGATCCACATGCGATCCACATGCGATCCACAAAAATAAAACGACAAATTTGTGTGGATCGTATGTGGATTGTATCGATAACTTTGTGGATCGTATGTGGATTGTATCGATAACTTTGTGGATCGTATGTGGATTGTATCGATAACTTTGTGGATCGTATGTTGATGGTATCGATAACTTTGTGGATCGTATGTGGATTGTATCGATTATTTTGTGGATCGTATGTGGATTGTATCGATAATTTTGTGGATCGTATGTGGATCATGTGGGCCGTATCTGCGTTTGTGGATGGCATGTGGGCATCTCTCATCCTATCCACTAAAATTACTCCCAAAACAAAAACGTTTATTTATTTAAAAACTTTATTATAATTGATAAAGGTAGGTATATAACAATATATAAACTTACAATAAACTTAAGCTAAATACTCGAAATAATCTTATGCTAACTATAAATTAAGACATAAACATTTAGATAAACTTATGATAAACTTAAGCTAAATATGTATTAATACTTTAAATAATCTTATGCTAACTCTATATCAACAAAACAATAAACAGCAACAGAAAAAAAATGTTTTTTGACGAAGCTATCATAATTTTTAGAGCAATGGAAAGAAATATATCTGTTAAGCTGTGAAAGGAAATTTTATAACGAATTCAACGAGGTATGGCATTCCATCGTGCGACCATTATTTCCCAGGTTTTTAACAAAAAACAGCAATAAAAGTTGATTTTTCCGGATCCTCCGGATTTTGCCATTTTTCATAAGGGGTTAGTTCATCTTTTTTGGCGAAAACTCGACCAAAATGAAATTTTTTAGCTGTGAATGCCAATCTATTGGAAATTTTATAACGAATTCAACGAGGTATGGCATTCCATCGTGCGACCATTATTTCCCAAGGTTTTGATCAAAAAACTGCAATAAAATTTGATTTTTCCGGATCCTCCGGATTTTGGCATTTTTCATAAGGGGTTAGTTCATAATTTTTGGCGACCCATATCTGCTTGGTAGGCGGGAACACGTTTTTGTAAACAAAACTCAGCTGGCAAAATGCCTATTCCGAGCCAGTGTTAGTGCTCTTGTTTTTTGTGGTTTCGTATTTTTTGGGGGAATGGAGTGCATTCGTAAACAACAATTCCTGCGCGCCTGTTACGACTCGAGCAGCTTGCTGATGGCTGCGTTCAGTTCCGCCGGCTTGAAGACGCCGCGTTCCGTGATGATGCCGGTGATCAGCGAGGCGGGAGTGACATCGAAGGCGGGATTCCAGCAGTTGATGCCCGGCGCAGCGATGCGGGAGTCATTTCGCGGTCGGGCCGTTCCTCGATGATGATGTGATCGCCACTGGGAATCGCCAAATCAATAGAGGTCAGCGGGGCGGCCACGTAGAATGGAACGCCGTGGTGCTTGGCCACTACGGCGATCTGGTAGGTGCCAATCTTGTTGGCCGTGTCACCATTGGCGGCAACCTGATAAAAAAGATAACCGATTAGACAATGTTTCAAATAATCTTACTTTCAGATACAATTTGGCCAGAAAACCAAAAAAGAAAATTTACATATACTAACCCGATCTGCTCCCACCACGACGGCAGCCACGTTTTTAGCCCGCAGCAAAGCAAAGGTGGCAGGGAATTTCTCGTGAACCAGTTCGTAGGCTGTGAGGCGTGCTCCCTGGTTATAAGGAGGCGTCTCCGTGCAGTAAACGTGCTCTAGGACCAGGACAAGTATCATTAGTAAGTATATATTCCAGTTTTCTTGATATTGAATAAAAAAGGTATAAAATGATCAGAAATCCAAAATCTCACCCAGCTTTCCCAGTTCGGCCAGTTGGCGTACCACGCCCAGCGCCTTCCCGTATCCTGCGGTGGCCAGGGAACTGGACCAAAATGAAATTTTTTAGCTGTGAATGCCAATCTATTGAAAATTTTATAACGAATTCAACGAGGTATGGCATTCCATCGTGCGACCATTATTTCCCAAGGTTTTGATCAAAAAACCGAAATAAAAGTTGATTTTTCCGGATCCTCCGGATTTTGCCATTTTTCATAAGGGGTTAGTTCATCTTTTTTGGCGAAAAATGGACCAAAATGAAATTTTTTAGCTGTGAATGCCAATCGATTGGAAATTTTATAACGAATTCAACGAGGTAAGGCATTCCATCGTGCGACCATTATTTCCCATGGTTTTGCTCAAAAAAACTCAATAAAAGTTGATTTTTCCGGATCCTCCGGATTTCGCTATTTTTCATAAGGGGTTAGATCATAATTTTTGTAGAAAACTCGACCAAAATGAAATTTTTTAGCTGTGAATGCCTACCGAATCCTAGGAAACCGGGTACCCTCTTGGAATCGTATGTTGACGACACAGCTTTCATTGGTAACTATCCAGGTCGTACTGTAACGTCTCAAATCACACAAAGTTTTTTAGATTTGTATAGCGAGTTGTCGATCACGTTAAATATATCCATAAACGGAAAAATCTCTGCAGTGCAACTTTCCCCTTAGAAGCCTAATTCTTCCAAGGGTCAGGATCAAGGACATCTTTTATCCCACAATCTCCGCAGGCTCAGTACTTGGAATGACATTCACATTACATTCAGTACGTAAAAAATTAGGCGGCACTATCTACTTACCATGTCAGTTTCTCTTTTTAATTGTTGCTAAGTTATCAGGTTGTAAATAATTCAGCCAAATCACTCCCGTAAAATAATTAATTCAACAAATATTGTATTTATATGTATATATTTTCATTAAATAATGTAACATCGCTTATTCTCACGCAAAGAACGATTTCGTTTTTAATTTTTTTTTTGTTTTTGCTTTCCATAATTATACGATAATTATTGTTGTTATTTGTTTGGAATAAATTATAATGTTAAGTTTACTTGAATAATTGCAATGAATTTTCGCCGTGTTCTTGCCAAATTAGTCATTTTTAAATATATAATTTTACGCTATATGCAAAATATCTCCTTTTTTTTTGTTTGTTTCCTTGTGGCAGTGGTAAATCAGAGTATTATCCGTTTTAACGAATCCTCGCTAATGTCGCCCCGCAATACTCGTTTGTGTCAGTTGGTTGGATTGGGTCTTGCTCCGTGGGTTAGCTTGTCCGCTGCATCTGCGTTATAGGTCTGGGGATCGCAATAATATATCGAGATATATACATATGCTTGTAATTCGTATGGAAAGGACCAAATAAAGAAGAAGGTTAAGCAAACGAAAACGGTTAGATTTACTTTAAGTATAATTTGTTCTTTTCGCTTCCGTTTATGGTGGGTTTGGAAAATGACTTCAAAGTTCTATATATCAGAATTAATTTTGGAAAACGCCCTGGGAAACGTGTGAGTCCTTTGCCGACAATCTATTTGGTAGTGTTTTCCTGCCTACTTGAAAACTCTCCGCCTTCTTTTCGATAAGTTTTGAACTATTTGTTAGACTATTTCTTATTGCTTTTAATTATTAAACTTGCATATTAAGTATGTAGCAAAATGCGGGTGGTAATATTATTATTATTTTCGCTAATATTTTACTATTACTTTAAGATTAATATGTTACTTCGTTAAAGTTCAACGCCGAGCTAGAAAAGGAATCAACTGAAACGTTTAAACTGATTGTAAACACAAGAAAACTCTGAGCCTTTTTATGACTGGGGATCTTCAAAATAGTCGTATATATTTCTGGTTTGATGTCGATTTCTATTAACACTCTTGGTGTCTCTTGTTGTGGGTTAAGTTTTGTTTCGTTCCCTTTTTTGTTTTTATGGTTTTCAGTCTTTTCAACAAATTGATTGCTTGGATTTTGTAAATTTGTTTGCTGGATTGTTCTTGTTGTGCCTGCTGTTGTTGTTGATGTTGGTGCTGCACCCGCCGCTACTGCTGCTGATGACAAGAGCTAAAGTTTAAACTTAAATGCATTGGCCTAACGTTTGATGGAGTATGCTCATGATGTGTTGCACTTAGTTCTTAGTTTGGGTTTTCCCTTGTTTTTGTTTTTTATATTACGCCTACTATAACACGCTAAAGCCCTGAGCATTTGGTCTCCATTTACTTGTTAAGGTTGACAGAAGAAATCTTAGCCTCAATTGCATTCTTTCAAGATCGTTTTAAAAACAAAATAAAATCCCCATAAAGCGTCAAAGGGTTTCAAAGTGGGCCGGAAATAAAAATAACAAGGGCGTGGGCGGAAGGTTTGTCGTGATTCAAAAGTAAACGAAAGTTTAGGCACATTTAATACATACATAAATTCACACTTTCGTTATATATACTTAGGCGTATGCAATATCCAAACTATCCAAACCGTAATACAACTGAGCTCCCTTCCAAACAATCGGAGATTTCCGCCGTGGAATCGGTCGCTTGCAGATCCGACTTCGAGATCGAGTTTTGAACATAACCTAAATGGAATCTGAATCTGCATTCTGCAACCTTCGCCTACGTATCCGATTCTATTTGTATGCGTGTTATTACAACAGGCTTAGTTACTTCGCTAATATTTATAAGTGTTCGATATTGTGCAATACATTTCGGTAAATTAGTTCGTTTCTGTTTCATTTACTGTTAACTAACTTTAACGCCTAATGTGTTAGCATAATTTTCAATTCATTTTCCGTCATCATTCGCCAGCTAACAGTTGGATTGGTTTTTGTATCAGTTATATAGTTATTCTAAATTAAATGCACAATTTGTAGTACTTGGTTGCCTGCCAATCGTGTTAAGGTTTAGTTTGTTATTTCACTATGTATATAATGTAGTTGCTCGTCCGCTATCAATTTAGGTTTGTATACATATTTCAATACGTCAATACTTGCGTTAACAATTTACCCTCTTCTGGCTTCTTCGCCCAGCTCCAGTTTGGTTGCTTTTTTGCTTTAAATGTACGATATGACACAGTGATATATATTCCATAGTGTATGCTTACGAATTCTAAGTACAAGTACAAATACATATCGAACAGGATCGGGCCCAGAAAAGCAGCCCCAAGCGGCAAAAGCCATAACACGCGCCCTCGCAGTCGCAGCCTCCAGTTACTCTAGCCACCACCAACTGACCACCTCCGATTCTTTACCAGCTCCCACATCTTAGGCTAAGCTAACTACGACTAAGAAGCCACAACAACTTGCAAATAAATCAACGTGTTGTCCTATTCATGATATCCTCCGTTTCTTCGCTACTTTTATTTGGTATTTGTAGAATATGTCTCGTATTTGTAACCTTCGGATCGTTCAACGATTAAAGCTTTTAGGGTGAACAAATTAAGAGAACTTTGTTTGAGAGTTACTAGGGGTATAAGAGTTATTCTTGTGTTTAAAAGAAGGCGACAACTGTAGTAACATTGAATATTCTTTGGTATGTACCACGTTAAAATCTTAAAACAGGTTGGGCAGCTAGGGCAGTTCGCGAGTCGCGACCACCACAAATGAAAACTCCTGTCTTGCTCACCTATTTGTGACTTTTATTAAAAACTACTCGCTATATGCAATAATTAACAATTCGCTATATAAAAATCAATTTGCCTCAACTATTTGGTTGCCTTAGTTGGGGTATATAACTCTTTGGTTTAAGAATTATGTTCAACACTTTAAATGCTCTTCATAAGTATTAAATAAATCTGACAAAATTAACTCAATAATTAGCTATTTAAAATCTCAACGCTCCATCGGACTCCTCAATTGATATTCCATATAAATGGCTCAAATCAATTAATACAAAATCTTGGATATAGTTACGCTTACGCTTGGGATTATACAGATTTGGTTAGTTATGAAAAATGTTATATAAACATGAACTTTATTTCAATTGATTTTGTTGAGTTGCTGAAGGAAGTTGTACTCGCATGAAGACGAATGATTTTGCGTTTTGTTTGGTACCTAACATAAATATTTTGGATTTAACTTGGTTTTTCCACTGTTTTTTGTTTTCTGACTAGCTGTTATTTATTTTTGTTTACTATGATTCTTGGCTGCCCCATTTAAATAATACTTTACCCTAGGCTATGTGTGTTTAACGGCGATGCCTATGACTAGTTGGTGTGACCTAGTTTCAACTGACGTTTTTTTGACCAGTAGTTTGATTAATTACTTTCTAGGTATTTACAGTTTCGTATTATTTGTGATTCATAGGGTTTTATGCAGCGTTGTTAATTATAGGCTCATTTAGATGTAATTTTCAATATGATTGGGGTTAAGCACAGTTGGTCGTACGTTATAAAAAGCTTTAAAAACATAACTGCTGTAAAGTTCTACTTAATCGCAAAGTGTTTAAATTGTTATTTTGCAGTATATATTTTTAGCATTCCTTTGTTTCCTTCTTTTTTTTAGTTTTTCATCGCATGTATAATTATGTTTAAATGTTTATAAATATTATACTGTACTGTTGTATATTAGTGTGTATATCAGACTTTGTTTCATACAAAAACTAAGCACATCGATTCGTCAATAAATTCATGTATTTGTATTTTGCATGTTAGTATCCGTGTGGTGTCTGTATATGTGAAATCCGAATCGAGAGTTTTATCTGAAATGATCAGTCGCTTGACCAAGCGAATATAAGATTACTTTTCAGCGCTTTTGTCCTGATCTGATTCTGTTTCTGATCACATAGACACGTGTATATAGAGATATATATAAGAGGCGTAGATAAACATTTTAGGCAAATATATTGCTTCAAAAGTCGTTAAATATTTCATATGGATAGTTTGTCATAGTCATGTATTATACTTTTTTAGATTAGAGAGTTGGTCACATTGAAACACACACATAACAGACGATGTGGATAGATTTAGGGCTAGAAAGTCGTGGAACAGATTCCACTGCGAAACGGGAGTATGCAAAAATATGTCATCGACGTAGTTGCATGTCTATTAGAGGCGCATAGTTTGTGTATAAGTTTTTTGTATGTAAAAATTAAATGCGCGATCAACCTTTTGTTAAACTTTATCTCTGTATGTTATTAATTGTAATTTTTTTGTATACGCTGCTGTTTTAAGTTTATGTTTTAGTTCATTCAAAAATACTGCTCGTAAATGTTATTGAATTCGGATTTATGGTACCCAAATAACTGCCCACTGTCAAGCGTTACAGAAGTGTTGAAGCTGCTATGGCTAAGCTTCCGTTGTTTATGACATAAATACACTGAGCTCAACTACTATATAGTTTCATAATCTGGTTGCTTAAGTGAATTGCTATTGGGGCTTTAGCTGGCTAGGGATTTCTTTTCTTTCGTGTGCTTTACTCGTAGCATATCATTCATTTTAACGGTTTATATTCGTTTTTCGATCGTATTTTGTAAATTTGTAAACTGTAAATACTTCAAAAGAACACGTTCAGCATTGTATGGCAATAATTTTCGTACTTTTTCGTTAAGTAACTACGCTTATACACAGGCACTCCAATAAACAATAAGGACAAAGTTATTTACAGAAAAAGATTATGTAACAAATTAATAGTTTTGGCGGATTCCGGTAGACATTTTTCATTTTAGGTAATGACCTTTTAAATTTATTCGAATTAATTAATAATACAAATTTAAAAAGTTTTAAAAGGGGTTAAGCTTTCGAAATACATTCAGAATTGAAAGTGACCTGCGTATAAACGTAGTTATAGTTTTATACCTTCTTCCTAACCGCATTTAACCCTTCCTCGCACCTCACTTGATATCGTCATACTCATCGCTACCGTTCTTCGAGTCTCCCGACGACTGGAAGGCCGCCATCACCGCCGCCCTATGGTGGCCCTTGTCCGCGCCCAGCTTCTCCTCCCCGTGACTATTGCTGCCTCCGCTGCCGCCCCCATTGCTGCCTGGCTTCTCGTCGAAGGCGTCGAGAAAGGGGTTGGTGGCTGCGTACTGCGCCCTATAGGTGCCTAGAGTGTGGTAGTTGTTGCCCCCGTTGGCGAAGGGCCTTCCACTGGAGCTGCTGCTCGTGTAGAAGTCGTAGCTATTAGTGGAGCCCGTCATGGAGCTCACCCCGCTGCTGCTGGCAGTGCCCGCCCCACTGCCACTTCCGCTGCCCGAGGAGTGGTAGGACGAGCTGTTGGCCGAGCCGCCGAATAGAGCGGCCCCCGTCGAGGTACCGTTCTTGGGCAGAGTGCCGTACAGATGCATGGTGTTGTGTTTGCCATTGCCGTTGGTGGTGGTGAAGGGACTTGGACTGGCGCCAGAGTGGTTGTGACTGCCATTCCCGTTGCCCAGACCGCTGCTCCCGAAAAGCGCGCTGCCGTAGCTTCTGTGCTCGGAGCCTGATCCCGAGCCCGATCCCAACCCAGATACCCCTCCCATTCCCGACTTACTGCTACTGCTGCTGGAGTTTCTAGTATCGTTGGTGTAGGTGGTGGTGTTGGTGGCCCCGCCGGCCGAAGTGGTGCCGCCTATGTAGGTCTTGGTTTCAGTTTCCGAGGATGATGAAGAGGCCAGGCTGTCGAACAGTCGGCGACCAGTGGAAACAAGCGAGGCAGAGGCAGTGGTGCTGCTCACGGCTGCAGTCCTGCTGTCCTTGCCGCTGGACAGGCGCGAGGGCGATGCCAGTTTCTGGCTGTTTGCGTTTGTATTCGAGTCCGCTGAGCTGGTGGTGTATTTGCTTATGGCTCCAGTAGTGGCACCTGGTTTGCTCGATGATCCCGAGGCGGGAGTGACAAGTTGGTAAGTGCCCTTTGGCAGGCCGTCGCCGCCACCCGGAGGCGAGGGCGAGTCAGGGGACTTGATGGGCGTAAACTGCACCCTTGGCTCCCGCTTTAGATACTTGGACATCAGCTGGCTAGTGGTCATGGCCTGCGATTGGGCCAGCAAAGCGTTCGTGGAGGCCGAAGACTTATAGGAGACCAGGTCATCCGAATCGTCCGATGAGGTGGTCGGGGCCGAGGTGGCCGTTGATCCAGCACTCAGTACCGTGGCCTGGGATGAACTCGAGCTGGATGTGGCACTCGACTTGTTCCGCATGGCCTTGTAGTCTTCGCCGGCGGAGATGGTACTCGCCTTGCTGGGCATGTAGCTGCTGCTTCCAAAGCAGCTTTTCTTCGCATCCAAACTGGCGTACTTAGAGCTGTAGCTGGATTCGTCATTCCCCGAACTCTTGGATTGCGCTTTCTGCGGTTCATAGAAGACCACATTTCCCCTACGAGTTGCTGTCCCATTGCTTTCCTTGTCTCTATTGTGGCTTCCCAGGGCTGAGGCTGCCTCCGTTTGGGTAGTGGGCGTAGTGATTTCTACGGGCGCATCCTTCTGCAGCGGCGGCTTCTTCATCACGATGGAGTAGGGGCTAGATGGCTGGTCGACGATCTTGACTTGCTTCACGGAAACAGGCGAAGCACCTCGCTTGATGGTATCCGTGCCTGCAAGAGATTACACGAGCATTAACCACGTAATCTTTTCTCTTTAATAGCATACACCAATGAATTGGCTTCACTGGCAGATAAGAGCATTTATTGTACTTACTTTTACCCGATCCGGATCCGGAGCCCGAGCCCGTTGATGCCGAACTACTGCCGGGGGAGGGTGTGCCTGGAAGTGGCAGTGGCGATTGGTCGGGAATTGCTGAGACCACTGAGCCCCCCAATTGATAGGGCTGCAAGAGATTAGAAAAACGAGAGAGGTGCAGGGAAGAACCCGCCAAGTTGGTCAAATGTTAATCGGCAAGGGCTTTAAGAATTTTTCAAGGGAGTTAAGGGCGCAATACGTGCTAATTCTTTGTTTTGGGTGGTGCGGAGACAATTTTAAATTTTGAATCGGCTTGGGGCTTAGTGTGAGAGTGTTAATGGGTGTTCTCATGTGGGTAAACGTGCGTAAACATACAACGGGCACATTTAGATTTATAGACAAAAGACAATTTCACTTCGTGCGCGATGCGATTCTCATATGGGTGACGGCCAATTCGTTAACCAATTTGATATTGTTATTGGAATTTGGATTGGGAATATAGATTTTGGAGGTGAATGGTGAGGCCAAGACGTGAGTTGGATGACATGCAAACAAGGTAAAACTATTAAAAGCTATTCGCCTTTAAATAAAAAAAATTGTTTGAGTTTAGGAATTAAATAAAATTAGTTTAACATATAACTTTAAGGGAAAACAATTGCGGGTCTATAGAAAACGTTTACTTAAAATCGAACTTTGAGAATAAACGGTGTGCAGGTGAAGTCAGCAGTGAATTAAGCTGCTGGTTAATATTGAAGGTTAATTCTAAAGCCAAAAGTAAAGTTGGAAAACGCACCCTGATGGATAATTGTCAACTAACTAAATAAGAGGACAGAAGAGTCCTCTCCAGACAATAGACTACACTACATCAGCTGTGCTTTCGGGTACTATGTAAATTAATGCGACAGGGTGTCGGGGTTTGGGTTGTGAACTTCAAAAAAGTGACCCAACTAAGATAAACCTATTCCTGGGAGGGGGTGTAACCAATCCAAATGGAACGAAAATATTAATGATTGATGAAGTTTTTACAATGGCACACGAGTTGAATGAAGCATTTACAATGTGTGTTTGTTATTTTGGCATTTCTTGGCATACAAAGCTGTATGGATTAGATATTGGATTGGAGAGGAATATATGTGGTAGAAAAGGTCGTTACGAGTATGATTATTTGTTACCAGTAGTGGGCCAATCATGCTTTATACGCCGTTCAACATTTATCTCATCGCTTAAATCATCATCATTAACGTCGCTTATATCGTACTGATGTTAGAATATATGGATATACATATGTCACAATTAAAACGTCTATCGATCAGGAATCACAGCAAAATATGATTTACTTTACTATATTTCTTTTGCGTTGATATTCTCAAAAAAGCACAAATCAAATTGACAACACATATTGGTTTATATATATATAAAAGTTCAGTGAGTAAATATGTTTGTAATTATCATCTTTTGCATGACGGTCAACAGGAAAAGTTAGAAGATGATGCTGAATTTGTGTACAGTTTTTGTATGGATTTGGTATGATTTGTGAGTTAGTTTAGGCATTATCCCTTAGAGTAAGCAATCAGAAAATAATACTAAAAAAAAAGAAAAAAGGTATTATAATTTTGTGTGCTTATAAGCTTTTATATTGGGCATTCGTATTTTTCAACAGACCAGACCCCTTGAAAACAAATTTCCTTCTTTAAAAATAAAATAATAATTAAAATTAATAAAGACTGTTTATCAATTTAAATAAAACCTTTGTCTTAGAACAAAATCAACAGGTACTTAAAAAAATGCCTTCAATGTCTTGCCCCATCCTAACTGAAGAAGGATGTTAGTAGGAGTGCGATATGTGTTTAATGTGGGTGAGTTAGTTGCATAGAAGTATATCTGGTTAGGTATTCTCTGCGGAAATCATTGTTTCTTATTGTTCGCGACCTCGACTCTGTTCTGTTATATTGACTGTGTGGTGTGGTTACTTTTTGTTTACCTGTTGCACCGCTTGTTGCAAGGCTCGATGCGATTGAGCTAACTGACCCACTACTGATTGATACAGATGACTGTTGGCTGTGGCTGAGAGCTGAGGATGGCCTTGGGAGAGTATGTTGGTTACCGAAGTGGACGAGCGCAGAAGATTGCCCGCCGCCATGAGCTGCGCCTGCTGCTGCAGTAGAAGTTGCTGTCTGTCCGCTGGCAACGCACTGACTTTGCTTCCACGCTGCCCTGTTGACTCGCCGCGCCGACCTGTCTACATAGGACTCTGTATTAATCAATATTAATGTGGACGCGGTTCGGTTCGAGGTGTTGTCGATGGCTGACTGGGTGAGGTGAGTGAGAATTACGGCTGCCACTTGAACGCGAACTGTTCTTCTATACTATAAACATAAAATATTATCGGTTGTACTAACGTTAATGGCTATCCTTATATTAATCGGGCCTGGATTTTAACTTTAAAACTACTGTGGACACATTAATATTTTTTATGAATCACGGAATCACATAGATAATGTGAACTATGTTTGATGTCTACAAAACCTTATTCAAATTGTTATGAGTTTTTTATTATTTGGGTACGTTTGGTGCATGATGATTGATATTGCCCCAAATTAAGCATAACATGGCACCGAAAGTGGCAACCGTTGTGGGTGTGTTTTTAGAGCTGTGTGTATCCATGTCTGAATGTGGGTTGCATAACAGCTAACAGTAAGAACGGTTTTCGTGCCGCACTTGAGGTTAAAAAAGAGGGCGAGCGGGTGGCAGAGATTTGGAATTGGAACTGCTGCTGATGCAGCGATGCATCCGAAGCAGAAACGAAAGAAAGAATCAAACTCTTGCAAGTGTGGTGCCTATATTCGGTGTGAGTCTTTCTGTGTCGGTGGCTTGGGGCTTTTGCGTTACTCTGAGGTGGGGGATCGGACACTGGGAGTACGTTACCTGAAGCAACGCCGGCCATATTGCTCATGCTCCCGGCGGTGGCAAGGCCGCCCATCATCGCCCCAGCAGCGTTGCCCATGTGCTGCGCCAGCTGCTGATGCTGCGCCTGCGGCTGCGGCCAGATCTGCAGCAGATATTTAAGCACCGCGATTGGCTGGGCGTGATCGATGTCAGCGCCCGGCTGCGCACTCGCCGAATGCAGCATCAGCGGTGGGCCCATCACTGTGGCCAGCGCCTGGGCGGACATCTTGTTCCGCTCCGAGTTGGAAACGACCAACGACAGATGGTCGAGCAGGAATACCAGCGTGGCCTATATCGTTATGCGGTAAGGGTCAACATTTTCTTTTATATGCCAGCTTTTCTTACCCTGTTCGCCCGCGGCAGGCAGTCGAGTATGCTTAGCATGAGTTTCGCATTGCCCTCCGGGTCATCCGGCAGGCAAACAGCTGTAAAAACAACAAAATATAATATTATTAAAAGTATACCCACAGAAATATCTGAAATGAAATAATCACCTAGGGCATCCACTGTCATCTGGAAGAGACAGCGCGTGAACAGCGGCTCGGGAAGCTCCCTGAGGTAATCCTTGAGCACGCCGGTAATGACGTTAATGTCAGGAACATGTTCTGGGCTCAATTCCACGGCACGACTATTGCGCTCGAAGGCTTCGCGCAGCAGTCGCTTCTTCGTGGCGGAGCCGCACAGTCGGTACAGCCCGATTATATCGAGCCCACGACGCTCCACCTCTTCCACACAGCGCCTCAAAACGATGGGAACCGGTGCACATCCGGGCGCGTTCTTAGACTCCCTGTTGACCACCGTTTCCAAGTCGGCGCCGAAGAGCGTGGGATAGCCAGCCCGCAAGCTAGGCAGACCCCTCCTCTTGTAGAGAGCCAGGGGATCCGTGTGCCGCATACGAATGTATATCGTGCCCCTGGGCTCAACCTTCAAAGCCAACTGGTGGAGCGGAGACTGTCGGAGGATTGACGATAACGAAATGGCGCCTCGATAGCACAGCTTGTGCCGGTGCTGTGGATCCCAGGAGTAGACCAGTACATCCAATTGCTTATTGCCCACCAAGTCCAACTCGAACGACTCATCCCAGTCGAACTGTAGGTCACCGGAACGCACCACTGTCCGGGCTTTATGCACGCGATCGCACTCGATGACGCAGTAAAGGTCCCTTGTTTGGGACGGTGGCGCTGCTCCTCCCGTTCCTTCAGGAGCCGTCCTTAGACCTCGACCTGCGAGCAAATGAATCCACAACATTCCGGAGATCCCTCCAATATCCACAATGGGCTTATCAAGCTTGTACTTCGCGAACTCCGCCGGATTAATGTCAATCTGGCGGTGGGGGCGGGGCAACGTGGCACTTGGCGTTGGTGCCGGACTCTGGTGACCTCCAGTGCTCAGGATGCTGCCGCTGGGACTGGCAGGACCAGCGGACAGCTCCAACAGCTGCCGCATGCGTCGAATGCTGGGCGATCGAATAGATCCTGCTCCCCCAATGTGCTGCGAGGACATGGAACGCACTGGTAATGCGGAGATGGGCCGGGTAAGGCCCATGTTCCGATCTAGAGTACCGGTACCGAGGATGTGGGTTCTGCTGGAGTAAATGCTCTCCGTCTGGGGGAAAAATAATATATTAATAGGAAAATCGTTACTTCTATTTAATTCTATAAAATATACTAACATTTCGCAGCGCGTCATGGATGTTCTCGGCGCTACAGGAGAATCGCTGGGCACGCGGCTGGGCAAACATGTCCCGAGTCATCCGCATCTGTTCCGCAATTGCAGAGCTGCTAGGAGCCCTTCTCAGCCAGGCGCGGTACTCGTCAGCCGTGAATATCGAGGGGCTGGCGGTAATTCGCTGCCGCAGGTCCCTGCCTCTCCGCGCATCGAACTCAGGTGCCGAAGTGTTGCCATCATTCTCGTCTGCCAAGCGATCTCCCATCCTGGAACGAATGCCCTGCAATCTTACTCCGGGTCGCTCCCTGGGTAGCGAATTGAACTTATTGAGATCAGCGGCTCCGGCCAGCAGGGCAGCTGCTGCAGCGGCACCCACTCCTCCACCGGCACCGCCCGCTCCCCTTGGCATGCTGCCGATGGCGGGTCTGTTGTAGTAGTAGTAACTCGGCCTGGGTCCAATGGTGGCCTCCGTATCGCTGGAGTAGTCCAGATTTGGTCTCGAGCGACGGGTCAGCGATTGAGCCCCGCCAGCTGGGGGGCCGTATTTGGATACACCTCTCTGTTGATCGTAGCGACCATAGCGGCCGAGAGTGCCACCCACTCCCACTGGCATTGGAGCTCCTCCAGCTGTTCCTGGCTTCAAACTCGATCGCAAGAGGGAGTGTCGTCCCAGTGAATTGGAATAGTCCGCATATTCAACGCGAGGTAAATGCTGATCCGAACCGGATCGCGGGAATCTAGCGTGTTGTTGAGCGAGGCTTATGTTTCCAGTGCCGGTGGACATTCTTCTTGAGGGACCCACAGGCGGACCACCCGGCTGTCCCGGATAGAAAGCATGCACCTTCTCCGCTAGACTCTCCAGGGTGCCGGCATTCTGATAGTAAGCATGCGACGGCGCGAAAGCGTGACCCTTCGTGGGCTGCTCCGTGATCACCGAAGACGGTGGCGGTGGAGGCTTGTAGCCCCAATTCGGCGGCTCACCCATTGCTCCTCCTCCACCGCCGCGGGTATTGTAGTACATATCCAGTTGCTCCGATTGCGGGCTGTAGTTGTTAAGGCCCAGACCCAAGCGAGATCGTGATTCCGTCATTTCGCGGCCATCTCCTGGAAGGCAAAGAAGAGAGACGCCCGATTAGCCTGGCGAACACGGCGCCCATTTCAAACTACCTGTACGTCTTTCACGTGATGAGCGCGGCCTCGGCATCCGGTCCGTCTCGTCTAGATCCTCGTCCCGCAGATCACGCTTAATCACAACAACCGGTGGCGGTTTTTGTTCCGGGCGGGACAGCGTCGGCGGTCCGGGGGATCCTGTGCCACGATTGCCACGGCGCTGACGTATCGCCAGCACCAGACGGCGTGGAATTGACATAATGATGACGACATCGTCCAGGGACATGTGGGTCACGTCCACCAGATTCACCGCAAGAATTTCATCGCCCACCTGAAACAGAAGAAAGCATAAAGGAAGAGTTCCAGTGGCAATTTATCAAGAAACTCACCCTCAAGCATCCGCTGTTGTATACTGCCGACTCCAGCGCAATCCGCGAGATGAACACGCCGTCGGTGCGATCCGCCCCGTTGCCCTCGCGGATATACAGGCCCAGCGTCTGGCCCGGCCGCTTGACGATCTCCACCAGCTGCACCGTGTGCCGCCCGTCCGCCTTGTTCATCAGCTTGTGGGCGGCATCCACAGCCTGCTTGCTGCCCATGCAGCGCGGCTCCAGGACGCGCACAATCATCTCCCCACGGCGTTCCACCGCCTCCAGGGCTGCCGCCGTGTTGGGGTCGTGATCATTCTCGACGGCCTCAATCTGGCGGAAGATGTCCGAGCTGATGCCGCTGACCTTGCGGAAGTCGCCTTGCAGCATCACCGGGTCCTTGACCCCCGCGGCGTTGGACAGACCGCTACTCTGGCCGCGGTGATTGCCGTGATGCTGCTGCTGGTTGCCATGATGCTGCTGATTGGTATGGTGCTGCTGGTTGCTCAGCGAGGACAGCTGGTTGGCGGGCAGCGGGCCGGGAGGCGCGCGTCCCGGGCTGGCAGTGACATCAGGAACTGATCTTCCATTCTCCTGCAACGACAAATGGGGAAATAGTTTCTCGTTAGTTTAATTTCCATCCTCGTTGGCTGGACTTAAATGCAAATCTGGAGTGCCACGCGCTGCTGCATAAATTAAACTAATTATTGCATCAGCTGCTGCAGCTTCTGCAGTTGCGGCTGTTCCTGCTCTTAGGCCATGCTAAAAGATTCAACTTTGCATTAATTAAGCTAATTTGGCACAGCTCAGTTTTATAAACGCTTCCTGGGGATATTACAATATCTCTTAGAAGACTGTGGGTCAGTGAAACATGTTTTCTGACTTTAACTGTATTTCAGCTAACTTTTAAAAGAAACATATAATCTTAATGTAAAAAAATTCGATATTCATTTTTTGAAGTTTTCAAGTGTTACAGAACCCCGACTTGTAAGCTCATTAGATGATTACTTTTCTACAGCTTAGCACTATTTCTAGTCACGTTTTAAATTTCCTGGGTAAAGTTTCCCTATGATTTGCCTATCAAAATGACCTCTTATCCCGGTGTCGCCCCAGAAAAAAGGCAATAATTATTTCGTCAGTCATTTTGCCGCGGACTCACGCCAACTGTAATTTCTGTCAGTGCCACAACCGTCGGGCGCAGCGTCATGCAAAGCTTCCAAGACAAAGTGTCCAGGACACTGGCGGGTCGACTATACCCAGCACGTGACGTTCGCCGATGATGTCACATGGTCAGAAGTTGATGAGGAAAACTATCCTCCCCTCCTCTTTCTCACCGGAAAAAGGGCCACAGCAACAATGTGCAACTTTGATTTTCCTGGGGTGTGTGTGGGACGCCCATGAAATTGGTTTTAAATGAAGTTGCCAGGCGCAAGCTAAGGGAAGTTTTTAATGGATTAATACTGGGCAAAGAGTGTGCGGGCGGACACACAAATTGTGGTCGGCAGCAAAGTTGCACTTGCTGGCCAGCGGAAACATACCCTCAAGTGGCCCAGTGCCCGGGTCTGCGGTTGCCAAAAATCATGTTCGCAACTGTCCGCAAAAAAAAAACCGAGGAAGAAGTAATCTTTAATATTGCGAAACTTTGACATGTGTCGGTGACTGTCGGCCCCCAGTTCCCCATTCCCGCGCTCTTCATTGTTGTTGATGCTGTGTAACTTTGACAAACTTGCAACAGCAGCAGCGACAAGAGCAGATGTCGTTGGGACGGAAGTTTTGGACCTCGCGCTTGCCTCATCCATTTGCTGTTAGTCAAATAGGCATTATTATATGCTATGCATATAAATATATTCTGCAAATATATGGGTTCACTGACAGAAGTTTTTCAGTTCTGATTCACTTTTTAGTTTTTGTTATGATTACACAATAAATTATTTAATTTGGAAAACTTAATTATTTAGGTTTTTATCTGGACGGACAGACGGACGGACAGACGGAGATGGCTAAATAGTCTATATACTTTATAGGGTCGGAAAGTTGGTAGTTTTTTCTCACAGTATATTGGCCTTCTAGAGTGGTACTGTAGCCTGTGTATACTTCCTTTGGGTATTTTTCCTTTTAATCTTATGGCCTTTGGAAATTGCTGGAAAAGTTTCTGGGCAACTGACATTAAACTATTAAAGTGTATTTACTGTAATGGTATTTGGTTGTTTGCTTGCAGCTCGCCAACTGCAAACTCATAACCAAATAAATAATTCAGGCGAAATGGCGAGGCATCATTAACACACAAACCGTAAGGCACAAAAAATGTCCATTTGGGGTGTTCTTTCTTGTTGAGAACGCCCACTTGCATGTGTGTGTTTGTGAAAAAACTGGGCGTGGTCTTCGCTGAACAACTGTATTCAATAAAAAGAACTTGCCAGCTGATTCAAAGGACTAGAAGGCGGCACATTGTTGACGGCTCCCTTTTGTTGTTGTTGTTTGCTAATGAGAACGGGCCGACTGCAGCAACAAAAACAATAAATATAAATGGTGTGCATCGCGTGTAGGTCTGCTTAGGCCAGCGGAGGTTGGGAAAATCGGGCGGACTCTAAATGGACACATGAAGTGCCGAAGCAACAGCAAACACCCTCCGTACGAGGCTGTCAGGGGAATATTTATGCACCCACATTTGGGCAGTCCGTGTGCTGCAATCGTCCCTTTCGGTCAGCGTCATGTTCTGTACACGGATTTCCAGATTTGCCACACTTTCTTTGACCCTTTAACATATTTAACCATACATTATTCTTCTGCGTTTTAGGCACATGCAAAGGGTTTTAGAAGCTTTTCGTTTTTAGACAGAACTTCTAAACAAAGGTTTCGAAATTTAGCCATAAAATAATTTATATTTGGAAACAGACAGTTTATTTGGCTACCCTGCAAACACCCGTTCTGCAATTTTTTTTTAACCATATGTCTACTTAACTGCCTTCTTTTCTTTTCTTTTCTTTTCTTTTCTGTAAATTTCATCAGCATAGCTGAAGGCGTTTTCCACTCACTTTGCGGCCATAAGTTATTTACATCGACTCGCGCACTTAATTAGTAAGTACATAGTTTATTAACCGGGAAATCCAATAAGTTAGGAAGAAGTGGGAAATTGCCTGCCAAAGCGGAGGAGTGCTGCTGCGGCAAATGCAAATTTCCAGGGCGGGTTTACATTAAGCGTCTTTAGTCAACGTCTGGCGCACATGTGACTCACGGACGACCGAAGGCTGAACCCCCACTTGGGGCTGCCTGTTTAAACTCATTTCAACTTCATTATGTTGTTGGTGCTGCTGACTAAGCAGCGAGCCTATATAAGCCATCCATTCGAGCCACCACCCACTCCTTTTATTCGCCACCCGGTGGGTGACGACAACTAATTGAAAATCCTCAAGGCATCACATATTGAGAACTGACTTTGGCAAGCTTTTTTAATTATGGATGATTCTTCTGACAGGCAGTTTCTGCTGGGAGGAAAACTAATTTGGAAAGGCCCCACGACTGGGCCACAAAGGGGGGGAGGAGCGAGAGAGAGGTGAACCCATTAGAGGAAGTTGCGTGACAACACAAATCAATAAAATCATTTTAGTCCTCTACAGCGAAATAAAAAATAAACACCCGAAAACAGAAATTGACTAAAATTGTAATTATGTCAGCGCAGACGCCATTAAGTTCCAGAAACTTGCGGCAGCCAATGTTTTTATAGCCAGTAGTTTTACTGAACTGAACAAAAAATAAATGCAAATTATTAAACGGCCAAATAAATATTTCAAGGGGGACAGAAAATACAATTTAATATTGAACATGATTAGGTTGGATTGTAAGGGCTACATTCTAGTTGGTCTAAAGGATTATGTATTTATTGGCAATATTTAAAATTAAGTAAGAGTTAAGAAAGGCACAATTGTAGGTTTTTCTGCAGTGTACCCAGTTTGGACTAATCATTTCAGAAGGTCCTGCTTCCCCGAATGCGGTGAAGAGTGCGTCAATGCCCTGGCCAGGTTAATAATTGACTAGCCATAATTGTAATGACGGAGCCCCAGTTCGTTTTCAAGCCATAACCTTCTTTGTTTTGGGGGGTTGACTTCCCATTCGGCAGTTCTTGTGCCTGCCAGTTGTACCCCAGCCCCCCATTTCCACTCGGGTGATTGATCGTCCGACGCATTGATTGATTGGCAGAGCGTGTGATTTAGCATGATGTGCTGGCCTGGCCCGATTCTTTACCTTTATCTAACTCACTCGGAGACTGCTTAGATTGGCTAAACAAAAATGAGAATAATTGCCTTGGCTTTGCAGTCATTTGAATTGATTAAATTGTTTGATTTTGTCTTGCCAACTTAGAGTAATTAATAACTTTGTACGAAAATGCCAGTCATGTTATTTGTCTAATGGCTCCTAAACTGATCGAATTACTAAGACTGCGAAAGGACAGTAAGAAATAGCTATTTTATTACGGCCAGTACCCTCAAAAAATTGGTGTGGCCCACTAACTTCTGATGGCCGTAACGTGCTCCCAACTTAACTACTAAAATGTTCCACCCAAAACGAATGTTTTATGTTCTATGGAATAATTTGCAAGATATTAACCAGCACTATTGTTAGCCACTCGTTGTTAAATTTGTTCTTGAAACAAATTGTATTCCGGTCGGCACGTGGATAAAGGATTTGTTGATCCCCTCTGGGGCTTTGGCTTTTATTTGGGCATTCATTTAGGTATTCATAACGTTAGCCACACAAAACAATTTCCTTGGGCCAAACTATTCCCGGAAATAATGGAACAATGCAAAGCGAACCGAACGAATGCCGAAACCATATCCGAATTCCATCTGAGCCGCAAACAAAGGTCGGATAATTATAAATTGAAATGCCCTGTTTAATTCCCCGGAGAGCGCTTGTATGCGAATTACCCGTCACTCGGCTCCTGTCCAAAATTCACCGAATCCACTGACAACAATTACAATTACAATTAAATGCCAAATGCACCACATTTCGCTCCCATGTTAATAGTAGTTGTCAGTTGCAGCTGCGCCAATGTCAAAATATGTGGCACCAGACCAGAGCATTCACATTCCCTGCCAGTGGCAGCAGAACAGGAACCGGAGCAGGAGCTGTGGCTTGACTCGACTCAGATTGGATTGCTTCGGATTTGACTGGGCGCAAGTCGAGATAACCGCAAATTAAGGCAAACAACAAGGCAACAAACACGACGACAACACAAGTGACAGAAGCCGCATTGTGGCGGTGACTCTGGCAGCCAAGGAGACGGAGGACGTGGGGCACGACAATCGGGAATGTGAATGAAAATGGGTTGTGTTGGGTGTGCTGCTCATACTTCTATGGACACAGCACACCCGGCGTATACATGATGTATTGATTAAATTCAAATTCGCTTGCCGGCAAGCAATGGGGCATGCCAAGATGGCTTCAAACGCATTCCAAGCATCGCATTATGCAATTAGATCCGGGCGGCTCCCACACATCCAACTTAAGATGTGCCAGGACATCAGGATATCACGGGATCAAAGGCCTTAAGCCTCCATCCAATCAAAGCTGTCGAGCGACAGAATGGAGCGTGA